AATTTTCCATCCCAGGTAGCTTGTGTGAGATAGTATTCTGCTCTGCTGTGTTCAAGTACTTTGTGCTGAAAGGGCCTTGTTGTCCACGTGTAGGGGTCTGTGATTGAGTCAGTGGTTGGTGAACATGCTTTTTCCTTGAATTTTCTTCCCACTTTTGCTTGGAACGTTCCTGAGATATCTCTGACTTTGACTCATTACCTGTAATGAAGGGAATATCCATCAATTTTTGCATTTGGCTTAACCATTCCAGAGGCGAAATGTGGCACGTGAGGGAATCACTTGGACACCATCAATTCCACTGCCCTTCAGGCTCAGGGATCTCTCCATCAACATCAGCACATGCAGAAACTGAGCACTGCTCCATTCGTTTCTGTCAGGGTCTTGCATGTTCTTGCTCCTATGCAGGTGTCTCCCCAATGAATTCTGATTCCCCAGAAGGCAGTCTCCATGTCATGACTTTGTAACTGCAGAATGGAATTGAATGTGAGCAACACATCGTTTGTAAATAATACCTTCCATGATTGGAACCAATGCCACAAATAAAGATCACCAGACTATCACAACCCTGTTCTGTTCACTTTTGTTAATGTATATGGTATCCTTAGCTACAAAAAGAGCAGTCCCAAAACTGTGTGAGGTGCTAACTTGTGATAGAGTGGCATCCTGCAGTCAAAAATCATGCTGAAGATCAAGCTCTGCTGGTTCTGAAGTCAGTGATGCATCTTTGGTCACGTGTCTGAAGTTCATTCAAGGTGAACTCTGTGTGGCTGTGGTGACAGTCTTTCTGAATGTGTCTCCTGAGATGTGGTCTCTTCCTCCAGCCTGTATTGGAACTGTGACATTTGCCATGGCGTATTGCTGAACAGCATCAATGCAAGTGCCATGTCCACCTCTGAGCTAAGTGAACTGATTTAGTTGTGGATTCGATGCAGAGTGACCAAGAGAGAGGGAGATGCAGGCAGACAGAGATGACATTCTAATTATGCTGGTTCATTCCCCAAAAGGTCTCCTTGGCTGAGGGCTGAATTCAGGAACATGATTTATATCTGTGTCTCTCACACGGAGTGCTCAAGGTCTTGGATAGAACTCTGGCTGCCTCCCATATGCACTGGCTGAGAGTTGGATAGTGGTAAAGCAGCTAGGGCTTAAACAGGTGCTGCCGTGTGGGAGGGTAATATTACAATACAGGCCAAAAGAAACCAACCATGAAATTTCACTTTTACATGAATTTTCTGAAGTGCCCTTGTTTGTGTGTATGTATATGTGTGTGAAATGTAGTCTATATGAATACATTCATAAGAACTTAACCTTGTCTCAGGGCCGAGAATAATTATTAGGCTTTATTCTATTTGTACTAGCTGCGTAGATATACCTTTCCACTTGAGGTATTTATCCCTCAGTTTGTTTTATCTTCTTGTGTCTAATCTAATTTAACCCATATAAAGAAGAAAACAATTATGAATTTTAGGTGATGTGCAAATTTTCCTGTTTATTTTAACCAAAAAAATAAATTTCTCTGCTAACTAATATAAATTGAATAGTTTTGGTTTTTAACTCCTAAATTTTCATTACATTTTGTAGATGCAATTGTATGGACGACATCATGGTTTCCCTCTATTCTTTCCCTAGCTAAATCACCTAATCCTACCTTTCCTTTCTTCTTTAATATTTTAAAAAGTGCATCCTCCTCTCCTCTATAGTCACAATTAGTGCACAACTAACCATCATATACAAGTGAAAAATTAGAGAAATCATAGTTTCCTAAGAGTAGAAACAACCATCAAATCTCAAGAAGCTCTTTCCATTTCTACATTAATTTGTATTCGGCATCAATCACAACATACTAAGGTAAACACATAATTGTCTTTGGAAATTGGGTTGTCTTACTAAGTAAAACGTTACAAGGTGAGGTGCTAAATGGCAGCCCTTTGTGATTGACACAGAGCTGGAGAAACAGAAAGAGGTTTTGCCTGAAACAGCATTCACCTGCTTTCCATCATGATTTCTTGGGAAACTCCTGCTTTCTGTCCTTCCAAAAGTGCCAGGGACCTGCTGGTGCTTAGAGGTCAGGGAGCTGTCTAATGAGCAGGTGCCAGGAGCTATAAGTAGCTCCTCTGCTGTGGTCCCTCTGACTGTGGACTAGAAGCAGTCTAGTTGTTGCATTTGGGGTCTGAGTTTGGCTCAGAAATGAGTGCTTCCCTCCTTCCCTGTGCTGTGCCTAGGACAGAGCTTCAGTCTCCAGCATCCACCATCCAGGGAGGCATTTGGGCATCTACACCATCATGTCCTCCCACAGTTCCCCTACAGGTAAGTCTGGATGAACTTCAGAGGGGTCCCAGACTGTGGACACACACAGCTTTCCCTGTGCTCAAGCAGGAGCAGAAGTAACCTAGCTAGCACCTCCAGGAGTGTCTGGGGTTCTTGTGTATTTACCTATTCTAATCAGAGCAGCCCCGCTTCCCATCCAGATCCCTGTGTGTGACCTGGGAAAGCAGTTGAGAATGGCCCAAAGCCTTGGGACCCTGCACCCTTGTGGGAGACCCGGAGGAGCTCCTGGCTTCGGATTGACTCAGCTCCAGCTGTTTTGGCTGCTTGGGGAGTGAAGTATCAGATGGAAGATTTTCCTCTTGTCTCTTCTCCTCTCTGAACATCCGCCTTTCCTATAAAATAAATAAATAAATCTTTAAAAAACACTGTGAGAACACCTGTTTCTTCATTGGTGTTCTGAGAAATGTTACTATTCCTCATAGGATAATAAATTATCATAAACCTGTCCTTGTTGTAAATTCTTCCCATGAGGTTTCTATAGGGTGAGAAACTTTGTGTAAGTTTTCAAAAAGCATTTACCAGTACTTAATAAAACATAAAATATCTATACATAAATCCAGTAAAATTTCTTTGTAACAGAGATTACCTAGCAGGAGAAAGAGGATTCACCTGAGTCCAACATGGTCTCTTGGGAAACACCTGCAAGAAAATGGCTTTGTGTCATGGTCAGATTCCCTCAGGGCCAGCAGGTGCTTGGAGTTCAGGGAGCTGCCTAATGAGCAGGTGCCAGGAGCTGTAAGTAGCTCCTCTGCTGTGCTCTCTCAGACTGCACAACCTGGGCTAGAAGCAGCCTGCTTGTTGCATTTGGGGTCTTGAGTCTGGTTTAGGGACCAGAGCTTCCCTCCTACTCTGTGCTGTAGCTGGGAAGGAGCTTCAGTCTGTGGCATGCACCATCCAGGGAGGAATTTGGGCATTCATACAGAGTCATAAAGTTGCCATGCAGGTGAGCCTGGCAGACATTGCAGAAGGGGTCCCAATCTGTGGACACAGAGCGCTTTTCATGGAGTTAACCTAGAACTGGACTAATGTAGCTAAAACCTGGCATAGGTCTGGGGTTGCTCACTGATATACTTAACTATTGAATGTACTTGTCATTGATTCAAAGGAAAGGAAAACGTTGAATGTCCTAGGGCAACAAGCATTACTAATGAAGAAATGAGAGCAAGAAAAGATCAATTCTATTAGACAATTTTTGGTATTGGTTTCTCAATCACATATATCAACTTTGCAGCATTTGGAGATCTGGGGGTGTAGAGAAAGAATTTTCTGTGTGGAGGGACATGTGCTGGAGTGAGGTCATGTCAGTTGTGTAGTGTTACAGAGCTTGGTTATTCACCACTCAAAGGTGGCTCAAGGAGGGGTGATGACTAACTACTGGCCCTGGTATAGCCTCGGCAGACTGAGTTACAACTCTGCCCATTCTGATTGTTAAGAAGGGATGTATCTAACTCTCCCAGTATTGACAGGAAATGGCCATGGAAGAGAAAATGCTTGCATGAAAATCCTTTGAGTAGCAGCTGCTGGAACACACATCTAACAGTCTTTTGTCTTGTCTCATACTTCACTCTCACATGACTCAATGTTGTCTTATTGATGCAGTAAAAAGAGCTCCATCAAAGACACCTGCTCAAAAGTCATTACATCATCTGTGAGTTGGATACACTCCAGGGTTTCCAGCCCCTCGCATTCTCTCCTGCAATTTTTCAGCACTTTCCTGGTGAGCTGTCAGGTGAGCCCGATTTATTCCTGTCTTCACTGTTCTGACATACATGGATTGATCACTGTCAACACTTTTTTTTTTTCTGCCATGGAATTCTTTTATGTGTTATTGCGTATACTTCAGTGTAATTAAAAATGTATTTAGAACATAGGTTTTAATGATCCATAATGTTGCAAAAATACCCTAATCTATGCTAATGTCATTAAATGTTGGCGAACCTTCTATTTTCTAAAATAGATGCACCAAAAATGCATTTGTTAGCAGTATTTTCAAAAAGATTTTGATGAACGTTTACTCAATTTTAAGAGGACTTGTGAAAGCTTGTATTTTTCTGTCATCTAATCCGTGACTCATCTTGGGTTTGAATCCCACTGTTATGAAATCTACCAAATTTGGTTGTGCAAGCAGAGTCTTAATAATTCAGTTGTATATACATTTCCAACCTGCTCCATGTTGAGTTGTTCTGATCATTTGAGATCCTTTCTGATTCCCTTTTGCTTAACATGATTGAGTCATTTACTAAATTCCAAATTACTTCTGCCTCCAGTTACACCAATTTACTGCAGTTCACTTTATAAAGAGAATTGAATCCCATTACTAAGATATTTGGAAATACATATTATAAACTGCTTCATCCCCTGCTTTCTATTTTGTATATATAATTGGAAATCCCATGGTGAGTTTGCAACCACTGTTAAATAGGTGTTTTTTCAAGTAATCAAAGAACATCACAAGCAGTGTGAGAAGTTTTTGATGATTTAGGAAAAGACTTACTGTGGGAAGAAATTCTTAGTGATCCATTGTGAAGTATCAGAAGGAAATAAGGCATTTGAAACACAGGATCTACTTTCTGAATTGGAACATGAAGTTGTGATTTCTTCTCTGTTGGTTGTTCCTATTTTGCATAATTATGATTCAGTTGAAATTACTTCTTCCTGATAGTGATCTGCACCACATGAAAAGGAGAAACCAAACTCAGCTTTCAGAATTCTTTCTCATGGGATTCTCAGAGGACCCAGCACTGCAGCCTCTCATCTTTGAGTTATTCCTTTCCATGTACCTGGTCACTGTCAGTGGCAACCTGCTCATCATTGTGGCCATCCTCTCAGACCAACACCTCCACATGCCCATGTACTTCTTCCTCACCAACCTGTCCATGGTGGACATCTGCTTCACATCCACCACCATCCCTAAGATGCTGGTGAACATCCAAATGCAAACCAGAGCCATCAGCTATGCGGGCTGCATCACACAGATGTCCCTGTTCACACTCTTTGTTGGATTGGATAACTTTCTCTTGACTGTAATGGCCTATGACAGGCTTCTGGCCATCTGTCACCCCCTACACTACATAGCCATCATGACCCCCCAGCTCTGTGTGCAGCTGGTTCTGCTGTGCTGGGTCTTAGCTGCCTTGGATTCACTGGTACACAGCTTACTGGTGCTGAGGCTGAGCTTCTGCACACAAGTGGAAATCCCTCACTTTTTCTGTGAGTTGAATCAGGTGATCCACAGAGCCTGTTCTGACACCTTTCTCAATGACCTCATGCTGTATCTTGCAGCTGTGTTCTTTATAGTTGGTCCCCTGGCTGGGATCCTGTATTCCTACTACAAAATCATCTCCTCCATCCGTGCCATCTCATCAGCTAAGGGAAAGCATAAAGCCTTTTCCACCTGTGCCTCTCACCTCTCTGCCATCTCCCTATTTTATGGGACAGGGCTAGGTGTGTACCTCAGTGCCAGCGCTGCCCCAGATTCAGGCTCTACTGCAGCAGCCTCGGTGATGTACACCGTAGTCACCCCCATGCTGAACCCCTTCATCTACAGCCTGAGGAACACAGACATGAAGAGGGCACTGAAAGGACTGTTGTTCCATAAATGATGATGAAACCAACAGTGTTGGGGCTGAGCAGTGTCAATGTTGCAGGCTCAAAGTCAGACACTGTAATCCATTTATCAGAGAAGGTAGCAGAGCTTGCTTAGTCTGTTCACTGTCTAGTTTTAGATTTTTTAATGCTTAATTCCTCTGTTTACGCTGCAAATGAAAGATAATTGCATTGCATTGTGTGTTTTCTTTGGTGCACACAGGTTTTTTTTTCCTGATTTTTCTCACCCTACCCCCATCATTGGTGTAACCATTGTTGCAGAAATAAAAGGGGTTGTGAAATTTTATGGAGAAATATAAATGCGTGAGGTGTTCATTAGTCTATGTGCTAAACAAATTTTAATTACATGTGTATTTTTTACAGTGTATATTCTGCTTTTTACATTTCATGCCTGTGATATTTCAGTATTCACTTACCACATAAATTTGTCATTTTAACAATTGGTCCGGCCCAGCGGCATGGCCTAGCAGCTAAAGTCCTCGCCTTGAATGTGCTGGGATACCATATGGGCACCAGTTCTAATCCTGGCAGCTCCACTTCCCATCCAGTTTCCAGCTTGTGGCCTAGGAAAGCTGTCAATGACGGCCCAACGCTTTGGGACTCTGTAACCATGTGGGAGACCCGGAAGAGGTTCCTGGTTCCTAGCTTCGGATTGGCATAGTACCGGCCATTGCACTCACTTGGGGAGTGAATCATCGGACGGAAGATCTTCCTCTGTGTCTCTCCTCCTCTCTGTATATCTAACTTTGTAATAAAAATAAATAAATCTTAAAAAAAAGAAAAGAATCGGTCTATTTGAGTATACATACCGTTCTCCAGTAGCACAGAATTAATTGCAAAAAGGTAAGACTTCATTGCCTGGGTTGTATTCCCTTGTTAATGTATAACAGATGGCTGTGGATGGAACATTAATTAGCATAAGAATTACACATGCTCCTTGAACTGCATGGGGTTAAGTGTGCAGAATTGAAATGTCCAAATTTGTCATGATATGATTTCTTGTTAAGTAACATTATGTGAGTGCCCAGCGCTGTGGACTAACAGCTAAATGCTCGCCTTTAATAGGCCATGATCCCATATAGGCGAAGGTTCTAATCCCTGCAGCCCCACTTCCCATACAGCTCCCTGCTTCTGGCCTGGGAAAGCAGTTGAGGACAGCTCAAAATCTTGGGATCATGCACCCATGTGAAAGACCCAGAAGAGGATCTGATTTCCTGGCTTTGGAACATTGCAGTACCAACCCATTGCAGCTGTTCGGGGAGTGAATCATTGGATGGAAGATCTTCCTCTTGTCTCTCCTCCTCTCTGTATATATCTGACTTTGTAATAAAAAAAATAAATCTTTAAAAAAATAACATCTTGTGACATAATTCACTATTTTTCTTCTTAGCTTAGTAGTTTATTTTTCAGATAATATACATTTAAGAATCATTGCAAAAGGAATATATGTTCTATTCCAACCAGATTAAATAGATGGCTATTTTTTGCTTTTCTCATATGTCATAGCTAACAGAAAATGCAAACACAGAAAAACCACAATGGATAAAAATAACACCAGCATCTCCTAATTTGATTATTTTATTAACCCTTGTCTATACTCCTGTACGGTTGTAGGCTTTATGCTTTTTTGTTGAGATTAAGGTTATGATTTTATAGTTGAAATGACATGACTATAAAAATCAGTGAATAAAGGAATGAAGAAGAGACTGACACAAGCAAGCATGAAGGATTTCTTAGAATTTTATTTATGAAATGCTTGAAACCTGTCCTTATACCCATAAAATTTTTAAAAAATGAAATTTTAAAAGTCATAAGAACATCTCCATTCATTTGTTAAACTCAGGTAACTGAAAGTTGCTCTTCTATTTGCTAGGGTAGAAAATTTGTGAAAACCGTGGTTTTTAAAAGTGCCAGATAAATAGAACTTTTCCTAAGGAGAATCAAACAAGATCAAGGACTTCTGGAGAGATCATTAGAACCTTCACTGTTGTTGGAAGTACGCCATTCCAATTATAAAACCTTAATGCCCAGAAGCAAACAGCAGAAGATTAAAAATCAAGCATCTAATGGAACAAAATGATGAGAGCCTAGCAGCATTGGGAAACATTTACAATGAGCACTGTGATAGGAAAAATGAGCAAAAAGAATAACCCAGCGATTCCCCAAAGGCAACACACAAAGAACAGCAACTTGGAACTTTGACTTGGAACTTGTGTCAGCCAGAATTATTTTCCATGTCTAGTGCATACTATTGGAGCAGTTGGTCTCTATGAGGTCTGACGGCTGCTGAGGGCAGGCTTCATTGTCCTTTTCAGGGATGTCATATTTGTTTTTTGTTGTTGTTGTTATTTTGTGTTTTGTTTTTCCTCTTTCTCATTAACCCATTGAGCACTCTCTGGTTCTAGTTTTCATATGTCTCCAACACACAGAGACTCTACTGCACACATGTTTTTTTCAAAAGTAGCAACTTCGTAATTTTGCATGAAATAGCATTCTCCACAACATGTGTCCCCCAAGACATTATGTCACAGGCATTTCTTTAATTACGTGGTATCTTCCCTTTGCTAGTTCAAGTGCTAAATGAGCAGCTGCCTTAACCTTTCTTGTTTCTCTTTCAATCTGACATGGTCCAGTGAATAGCGGTGCATGACATAGAAACAGATTTGAATAAGGAAAAAGCAAGAACAGGAGAAGAATCAAATCATTACATTTCTCCAAAAATGTTTTGAACAAAAGAAAGTCTCCAACATGAATTGCATAGCAATAGTTTAACACAGACATGTATTCATGAATAAGTTAGTGATTATCTGATTACAACATATGTGACATGTATTATTCTGGCATAGAGCACATACAATGTCAAATTGATTGTTTTGATCAATAATTGTCTTTTATATGTATGGGTGTTTATTTTCTTACAACTTTTCTTTATGTTAAATTTATTAATTCAAAAATATTTTTTAAATTTAATAGTGTTTCACATATGTAATATTCCCTTCCTATGTAGATGTTCTATGCATATATATTATTCTTTTTTTACATCACGGATATTATCTCAGATCATGTGGGGTTCATGACAACAAACAAAAACTGAGGAAATTAAGGTAGAGTGTTCAAGACAAAACTGAGTCCATAGCAAAATACTATTACAATTTAGATAGCAAAGTTTGAAAGGTGTCATAAGTTCTCACACAGGTGTCTCTCTATCTGCAAAAACATAGTGGTGGTCCCCACCTCACATATCGTTAAGATGATCACAACATTCAGAGAACTGAACTGTGGTGTCTGAAACTAGCTAAGTGACTCTGGCAAGGCTGACATTCCTTATCACAGCTTGCACTTTGAGTCCCAGCTGCTCTGCTGAGGATCCAGCTCTGGGGATGCACCTGGGAAGGCAGCAGAAGCTGACCCCACTCCTCATCTGAGTGGAGACCCAGTTTGAGTTCCTGGCTCCTGGTTAGGCAGCAGAAGCTGACCCAGTGCTTGGATCCCTGTCATCCACATGGAACACCCCGATGGAGTTCCTGGACCCTGGCTTCAGCTTGACCAGTGCTGGTTGTCAGACTAAATGGAGGTACTCACTCTCTCCCCATTTGTCGCTTCTTCTTTTAAACAAATAGATGAAAAACATGTTTGAAAAATGTAGAATCAGACACCTCGTGATGAAAATGAATGTAGGTGAACATGTAGAAATTCACAGATGAGATCTTCAGCTGGGTAGATCCTGCTGACTTTGACAAGAACTCATGTTGTTTAAAGGATTATTTTCATGTATTTGTATTGAAAATACATGAGTATATGCATGGGACATAGAGAGTCTTTTTAAAAGACTATGAGAAGGATGGGTGATTTGCACAGCAGTGAAGGTGGGTATTTCATATTTCAAGTTGTTTTTTCTCCCAGTGGAGACAGTTACAATTAATTTTTTTTTAATTTTAAGGTTTGATAACTTTGAACTTAATTTATACAAAGTGATAATCTCTAATGTATTTTTAGGTGCACAGTGACATGCCTGCTTTCTCCCTTCCCTAGTCCTACAGTGCAACTATTCTGAAATTTGAAAAACAAAGTAGAAATCGTGAAAGGACACAATGTGTGTTAGTGTAATTTCATAAGAAGGTTATTAGGATTCCACATGCTAATGAAAGGTGAATATGCTGTTTAATTAAATGATAACAGTTGCTTTCAGAATTAAGAAGTAAGGGGTATAACTTTTAGAAAGAGATGTGATCTCTGGAAGATGACAACTTCCAACAAGTAGCAGATATACAATCACAACTTAAAAATACACATACCCATAAAATTGAACTGCAGGTAGCATCTCACCAACCCATAAGTATCTTCATCCAAATATCTAAGAAAATGCAAATGGATTCAAGTTTTCACAGAGAAGAAAATAATAAGAGCTATGTTTCATATACACAGCTGTTGAAAAGTCATGCATAGTCAGTTTTTAACATAATACTGAATTTTCCAAGAGATCTCAGAAGACCTCTTGGAAATGTAACATGAAGTTCATGAATTCACCACTTCTACCACATAAAACTTTTCCTTCTGTGAATCAACCACACGAGAGAAGAGGCTACAATGTGTGAGACACAAGAACTGCTTCTGCAGCTAGACTTTGGAATTTTCTTATTAATATCAAAGCATATTTACTTAGGCCCATCCCACAGATAAAAATGACATGCCCTCATGTGCCTGGACAGTCCTCCACTACCAACACCTTGCTTCTATAGCCCTTCATCACACAAATCATTGGAAACAACTCTTCTTTTTGACCTGTCACATTCCTTGTTACCATAGGCTTCAGGTACATTCACTTCCTGATCCCCAGTGACCCTGCCTTCCTGAGTTCTGTGGGCATGTCCCTTTTCTTTCTTAGGAACAAGTACTTTGCTGAGATCATGACTCAGGCAAGCAGGCCTCCCTGCACCCTGTCCCTCTTGGTCGTGGTCAGTGATGTCAGCTAAATGAATTAATTTTAATTGAGGATTTGGGGACAGAGTGACCACGAGAGAAGGAGATGCAGGCAGACAGAGATGGCATTCCCTTTATGATTGTTTATTCCCAAAAAGTTCTTCAGTGGCTGAGGTCTGATCCCAGGACCATGAATTCCACCTGTGTCTCCCATATGGGATGCAGAAGACTTAAGGTCTTGGACTGAACTGTACCAGCCTCACATGAGCATTGGTTGGGATTTGGATGGAGGCAAAGCAGTTGGGCATGAAAGGGTGCATTAACAGAGGAGGGCAATGTCACAATGCAGTAACCCCCCCCCAAAAAAAAACTGTCAGCAAATATTACAATTTAACTTTTACCCGAACTTTCTGAAATGGCCATGTGTGCGTGAGTGTGTGTGTATGTGTGAGTGTGTGTGAATGTGTGTGTGTATCAAATGTAGTCTGTATGGTTACAGCCAAAAAAGCTTAACTTTTTTTGGGGGGGGGAGGTGTAGAGAATAATTAGTACACTTTTTTGCATTTGGACTAGCTGCTTAAATATGGCTTCTGACTTGAGGAAATCAGCCATAAATCATGCAGCTTGTTTCAACTTTTTGTGTCCTATCTCTATATAATTCAGGTAAAGAAACAAATAGTGTTTATCACTTCTAGGAAATTTGAGAATTTTTATGTTTATTTTGCCAAGGAAATAAATTCTTCCCCCAATGAAAGCCAAGTTTATTTAACATGTATATTAAGCTATTTAATGAATTTATTTCAATAAATTAAATATATAATATTAAATATGCAATGATATAAAATTAATATGTTTATATATGTTCAGCATATAAAATGTTAATGTAAGTACAGATATATTAATATGTTTAAACAATTGAATGGTAAAGTAAACTAAACTATGCATATATGTAAACATCAAGGTGTTTTGGCTTTATCTCTTTATCCTTTTGTAATTAAATTTGGTAGATACAATTGCAGTAATACATTCCTGCCTTCATCCATTCTTGCCTAGCAATATTCCCCATGACTTTCCATCTTTTTTATTGTTCAAAAATATATTCTCACTCTCCTCGATAGTCACAGCTTAGTGCACCACTAACCATCATATTTAACAAGTAAAAAATCAGAGAAGTCAATTTCCCAGGAGTAGCAACAACAATCAAATCTCAAGATGCCTTTTCCATTACTACACTATTTTTGTACTACATTTAACTATGACATATTAGGGGAAAATCATGAGAATTGTCTTTTTTTATTTCATTTCTTTTTTATTATTATTATTGGAAAGGCAGATATACAGAGAAGAGGAGAGATAGAGAGGAAGATCTTCTGTCCGATGATTCACTCCCCAAGTGAGCGCAACGGCCAATGCTATGCCGATCCAGAAACTTCTTCTGGGCAACCCATGCAGGTGCAGGGTCCCAAATCTTTGGGCCATCCTTGACTGCTTTCCCAGGCCACAAGCAGGGAGCTGGATGGGAAGCTGGACCGCCAGGATTAGAACCGGAGCTCATATGGGATGCCGGGGATGCAAGGCTAGGACCTTAACCACTGCGCCACCACGCCGGGCCCTCATTTAATTTTAAATCAATGTTTCAAAGGCTCTTATGTTTCCCCTTACCCTCCCCCCATGGTGGGTTGCTCCACCTTATTGCAGTATTACAGTTCTGGGGTTGTTGACTTGTGTACTTAACTACTGAATACAAATGACAGTGATTATCAAAGTTCAGGAAAGGGTTAGATCTCCTGGGGCAATGATCATTGCTAATAAAAATAAGGACAAGAAAAGATCATCTCTCAGAGAAAATGAGAGGCTTAAGCTGCCTAGAGTACATGGAGCAAACTTTGCAGCGTTTGGAAGTCTGTTGGAACAGAGAACTAATTTTCTTTCTGTAGGAACATGTGATGGATCTCAATCTTACTCGTTTTCCAATATGAGAAATCGGTTGTTTCACATTCAAAACTAATTAGAGGAGGGAAAATGACAACCTCCAGGCCCTGGAACAGCCTCTGTTGACTGAGTTACAACTGTCCTTGTTTGCTTTATAACTGACTGTCCCTGTACTGAAAGGAAAGGTCCATGTAAGGGGAAATGTCTGCATGGAAATCCTAATAGGAGCAGCTGCTGGAACACAGGTCTAACAGTTCTCATTCTGTTCTCACACTGTGTTCTCAGATGACTCAATGTTAATGACACAGTAAGACAGGCTCTAACGAAAACACCTGCTTGGCAGATATTGCATCATCTGTGAGTTGGATATCTGCCAAGGCTTTCCATTCACTTACATTTTTTCTGCAATTTCACACTTTCCTGGAGTGTTGTCAGGTGAGAGTTTTATTCCTGACTATTGTCTTTTTACGTACAAAGATTGGCCATTTTTGACAGACTTTTTTTTTCTGCCATGAAGTTCTCTTATATGTAGTTGGAGTGTTCTTTAGTGCAAAAAATAAATAAATAATAAAGATTTACTTAAAAGGTAACTTAGTTATGGTCCAAAATGTCTGGTGCACAAGTATTTTAATTCATACTCATAACAGGTAATCAAACTTGGAGAACTCTATTTTGCTAAATGCATACATAAAATGAGTGAATCTTAGCTGCATTTTTAAGACATGTTGATGGACCTCCTTAGTAAAATTTAAGAGAACTTGTGAAAGTTTGTATTTTTTCTGTTGTCAAATCACAAACTCATCCTGAGTTGCAAATGCACTGCAATTAAAATCTACACAAATTTGGTGCTGCACATTGTCTTCATAAGTCACCCTTACATATATTTCTAACCTGCTTCACATAGAGTTGTTCTCATTTGACATCCTTTATGAGTCCTCTAGTCTAGCTGATTAACCATTCACTCAGAGTCACACACTTCGGCCTCCAGTTGTATGATCAGATTAAAGATCATTTTATCTGTGATAACCAGAATTGAATCCCAGTCTCTCTTAACATACACAAAAACACATATTATATATCAATTCATCTCCTTACTTCTTCATGACTTTCCTTGTAAAATCTATAGTGAGTTGGTAAACACGGATGAATAGAAATTTCAAAGGGGTCAAAAATACTGAAACTTTAGGGAAGGCCTGAGAGTGGGAAGGAATTCTTAGTGAACTCACTGGGAAGGATCAAAAGAGAAACCTGAGCCATCACCAAATGTGGGAGCCACATTCTGAACAGAAACACATCAATTTTGAATTTGTACTCTGTTATTTACATTGTCTTTGTATAAATATGCTTCAGGTGCAACTACATCGTCCTGATAGTGTTGTGCACCACATAAAACTGACAAACAAAACTCAGCTTTCAGAATTCCTTCTTCTGGGATTCGCAGAGTACTCAGCCACTGCATGCTCTCATCTTTAGGCTGTTCCTCTCCATGTACTGTCACTGTAAGTAGAACTTGCTAATTGTCCTGGCCATCCTCTCTGACCCACACATCCATACAGCCATGTACATTTTCCTCTCCAATCTGTCCTTGGTGGATGCCTGCTTTCAATCCACCACCATCCCCAAGATGCTGGTGAACAGCCAGATGCAGAGCAGAGCCATCAGCTATGAAGGCTGCACCACACAGATGTTATTCTCTCTGCTATTTGGAAGCGTGGATGACTTTCGCCTAACCATGATGGTCTATGACCTGTTTGTGGCCATCTGTCACCCTCTACACTACATGGTCATCATGAACTCCCAGCTCTGTGTATAGCTACTTCTGCTGTGCTGGGTCATTGCTGTTCTGAATGCCCTTATGCAGAGCTTACTAATGCTGAGGCTGAGCTTCTGCACACATTTTGAAATTCCTTACTTTTTCTGTGAGTTGAATCAGGTGATACGCAGAGCCTGTTCTGACACTTTTCTCAATGACCTCATGATTTATATTATATCTGTACTGCTGGGAGTAGGTCCCCTGGCTGGGATCCTGTTCTCCTACTCCAATATCATCTCCTCCATCCATGCCATCTCATCAGCTCAGGGAAAGCATAAAGCCTTTTCCACCTGTGCCTCTCACCTCTCTGCCATCTCCCTATTTTATGGCACAAACATAGATGTGTACCTCAGTGCCAGTGCTGCCCCAGATTCAGGCTCTACTGCAGCAGCCTCGGTGATGTACACAGTGGTCACCCCCATGCTGAATCCCTTCATCTACAGCCTGAGGAACACAGACATGAAGAGGGCTCTGAAAAGACTAGTTCTATAAACTGTAGTGAACCCCACAGTGTTGGAGCTCAGCGGTGTTAGTGACTGTATGTCTCACACCTCAATGTTAGACATTGTGACAAAATTGTCAGAGGAAAAAGCAGAGCTTGCTTAGTCTGTTCACTGTTTTGTTCATATTATTATTATTATCCTTAGTATGCATTCTTTTAGGTCTATTGCAAATAAACAAGCAATTGCATGGTATGTGTGTTTTCTGGTATGCCAAACTTTTTGATTTTTCCTTTATCCCACTTTTATTGTCAGCATTGTTTCAGAAATCCATGGGTACTCAAAAATTTCTTGGAAAAATGGAAATCAATTAGAACACTTTATGTGTTACATGACTTTTAATTTCATGTGTATTTTTAGAGTGCCTATACATTTTTCAATAATTTCATATATGTTAAATTCTATTGAACTACCAGTTATATTTGCTTTTGGAATGACTTTTTTCGGTATGCAAACTAGTATCCAGTTGCACCAAATTTAATGCAGAAATATAAGATTTCATTCTTTTGATGGCTGTGTTTTATTCCATTTATGTGTACCACATGCTCTGTTGAGGGGAATCTTTGTTAGCATAGCTTTATACATATTCTATTTTTTTTAAAGATTTATTTCTATTATTTTTTATTGGAAAGGCAGATATACAGAGAGAAGAGACAGAGAGGAAGATCATTCTTCCAATGATTCACTCCCCAAGTGAGCGCAACGGCCAATGCTATGCAGATCCGAAGCCAGGAGCCTCTTCTGGGTCTCCCACGCGGGTGCAGGTTCCCAAAGCTTTGGGCCATCCTCGACTGCTTCCCTGGGCCAGAAGCAGGGAGCTGGAAGGAAGCAGGGCTGCCGGGATAGAACCACCGTCCATATGGGATCCCGGGGGTACAAGGCGAGGACCTTAACCACTGTGCCACTGTGCCACTGCGCCAGGCCCTACACATATTCTTGATGTAGATAAAGTTAAGTGTGTGCAATTGGAATGTTCACATTTCTCATGATATAATTTTTTGTCAAACAACATCTTATGACTCTAGTGAATATTCTTTTATAGCTTAAGAGTTCATTTTTTAGTTAAGATACATTTAAGAATCACTATGGTGATTTGTTTTATATTTATTTCAACCACAACAGAAAAAAAACATATTTTATGCTTTTTATTATATATGATAGTTCATATATAACACACACATAAGAACAAGATATGTAAGAATGGAACTGGCATCTTGTGACATGTTTATTGTATTAACCCTTGTCAATACTCCTGCACAGCAGTAGTCATTCTGATTTTTATTTGACATTAAGACTATGATTAAAATATATAACTAAGTAACTGCATAAACTTGTAGAAGAAAAGGAAGAAAGAAGATATTGATGTAGGGAGGCATGACTAATTTCTTCAAATTTTATTAATGAAAATCCTGAAACCTGTTCTTTTTCTATCCATACAAATTTAAGAACTGAAATTAAAAAAAAAAAATCAAAAGAACATCCTCATCCATTTCTAGGTCACTTGATGCAACATTACTCTCCTCACTGCTGGATTAGAAATTTTCTGAAAATACCTGTTTCTTCATTGGTTTTCTGAGAATTCTTCCTAATCCTGGTAGGACAATATGTTATTATAAATCTGTTCTTGTTCTAATTCTTCCCATGAGACTCCTGGAAGGTGAGACACTTGAAGATGATGGTAGTTTGCAAAAACTTTCAGAAGACACTATACTTCATAAAATTTAAAATATCCATGCATAACACCTTGACAGACAGCTATGATGGCTCAAGTAGCTGTTTTTGCCATGCCCATGGGAGAACAGGGTTGAGTCCTGGCTCCTGGCTCAGGCCTAAACTCATTCATTGTAAGCCTTTCTCTCTGCCTCTGAAAATGAATTTCCATGTGATTACTTTTTCAAAGTTTGACAAAACAATGTTTGTAAAACCTCCGATCTACAGAGTTGTTGGCTGTGGGAGCTGGTGTGGCCTGGGATGGTTGTCTGCTCTGAGTTGACTCAAACCAGTGTTGACAATGACTGGGTCCCCAGGCAGCCTCGTACACCCAGGCTTAGCAGGAGATCTGGCTAGGAATCGGGATCATGAGCTCCATCATAAATAGGACGAGGAGTGCCGGGAGAAGAAGCAAAGCTTCAGAAGGTTGTGGTCCTGCTCATGGCCATCACTAGCCAGCTTTGCTCCGAGTGCCCACTGGAAGACATGTGCATCTACTTGTGGCCAATGCTGTGTTGGGTGGCAGCCTAGAAGATTACTGCTACTTGCTGGAGCACCATTTACTCTGTGGCACGAGTTAAAGAATCAGTTAGCTGCACCATGAAACAAAACAAAACAAAAAAAAACCAAAAATCCAACCAACCAACCAACCAACCAACCAACCAACCAACCAATCCCTCAGTTGGGCAGGCTCTAAAGACTCTATCATCTTCCCATCTGTATCTACTCATGTGATGGTGCAAGCATTGTGTCAACATACTACAGCCACATAAACCAAAACGACCAAAAAAAAAAAAAATGTGATGTTCCTCTGAAACCTTGCATATTTATTGAAAAATACTGAGCCTTTTGCCTTATTCCCATATACTTTTTCTATGCTGTTTTAATCACCATCCCCCATGTCAGTCAATGCTCTGTGGGAGGGACAGACAAGATTCCTGCCTATTGGAGAGAAGGTTTCATCTTTCCCTAATTCTTGACTTATAAATCTGTGTCACAATTGCACTTTGTCATCCTTGATAAATACCTGTTTGAAAAGTTAAGATCAAATTAGTGTACTATAAATATTGTCTCAGAATGAAAAAAAAAATGCAGTTAATTTCATTGTAATGGAAGTGCAGTGGACCAGAACATCTGCTCATTTCACTGGCATACATTTCCACATAAACATAATAATATTGCTCACACATCAGATTTCTAGAAATTCCATGGCATTTCTGAGACACATATAAGAACCAACATGAAACTATGGCTCAGCAGGAAAATATGACTCAACAGAAACTATGAAACAATGGGTTATTTCAGTGACATATTTCTACTATGTCACATAAAATTTTGAAAATTTAACTTCATCTTATGGCTAAAATCCTCACCACGCATGCGTAGAAATCACATACACGCATGTGTAGAAAGCACAGGATCTTGTTCTAGCTGCCCACTTCAATTCCAGTTCACTGATTGTGGCCTGGAAAAGCAGTCAAGGATGGCTCAAAGCCTTGGGACCCTGTACCCGTGTAGGCAACCAGGCAGAATCTCTCGGCTCCTGGCTTTGCGTCAGCTCAGCTTGTTCCTATAGCCATTTGGGCAGTGAATCAGCAGATGGAAGATCTTTATCTCTGGCTCTCTTTCTTTCTCTAATATTGATTTTCCAATGAAAATAAATTGGGACTGGCAGCGTGGCCTAGTGGCTGAAGTGAACGAGCCAGGAAAAATATGGGTGCCTGTTCGAATGCCGGCAGCTCCACTTCCCATCCAGCTCCCTGCTTGTGGCCTGGGAAAGCAGTCAAGGATGGCCCAAAGATTTGGGACCATGCACCTGCGTGGGTTGCCCAGAAGAAGTTTCTGGATTCTGGCTGCAGATCAGCATAGCATCAGCCGTTGCGCTCACTTGGGGAGTGAATCATCGGACAGAAGATCTTCCTCTCTGTCTCTCCTCTTCTCTGTATATCTGACTTTCCAATAAATAAATAAATCTTTAAAAATAAATAAACAAATAAATATTTAAAAAAGAATGACTGTGAAAATATGTCTCAGCAGATTCAGGTGATGTTGGCAATGTCATGACCCCACATGGAAGCAACTGTCTGAGTCTCAGATGCCCCACTGCTCCACTCTTGGATAATGTATCCAGGGATACTGTAAATGTGTGTGGATTCCTGTCACCCAGTTGGGAGACCAGGATTGAGCTCCCGGCTTCATGGAGGCCCAGCCCTGGCTATCATGGCCTATTGGGGGTGAGCCAGCAGATGGATGATCTCTTTCTAACTCTCTCAGTACCTTTATCCTTTAGATCATCTCTTTAAATTATATTACACAAACAGAGTAAAATATGTCTTCTTTAACAGTGCTTCTCCTTTAGTTTAGCAATAAATCAAATCAGTTCTCATCTTTTCTTTCTAGAATTCACTAGACATTTCTGAGGCCCTTTTGGCAGCATAGCATTGCTTCAAGATTTTTTTTTAATAGTAATTTCCTTTATCAAAATGTGTCCAAGTGTTGAAACTTTGGGAAGCCAAGCTTTAAGGAAAATGTGACTAGCTGAAACAATAAAAGAAAAACAAAAGCACAATTACATATACATATTCAAAATATGTTTAACCAGGGCTAGTTGCTTGTGTTTTAACCAGGGTTAAGTTGTTTATTTATTTATTTATTTATTTATTTATTTACTTGTAAGAGTGAGAGAAAGAGTTAGACAGTGAGAGAGAGATTTTCTACTCCCTAAAGTGCCATAACAGCTGAAAGAAGACAAAGTCAGAGCATATGGATGGCAGAGGCCCAAACATGCAAGCCATCTTCCACCTTGAACAGTAGAAAATAAATTATAAAGAACACAGTTGGGGATCCCCAAGGAAAGTCTGAGCCAATTTATATAACCTAAAAGTTTTTCATTAAGCATTTTGAGATTATCTCGGCATATTTGAAAAAACTGGGGTGATTAAACTGACATTGTAGTTTGTCGTGGATAATAAACAAGACAGTATTTTTGCACTTTATTGGGAGAAACAACAAGGCCATACATAGTAAAAATGATTGATTATCACGGTTAGAATGTGATCAAGAATACCTGCCTCGGGAGAAGCGAACAAGATATCTTCCATAAAATGAAAATTTTAATAATTGAGAATACTGTGGTCTGATGGGTTGTAGAATGCTGGAAGCATATATTTGACACAAAGTAGGAGAGTTCATCATACCCTGAGGCAAAACAACCCATTGATATTGTCTATGGGGATGAACATTATTAAGAAATGGCAAAGCAAGTGCAAATCTTATGCAATT